GGGTGGGTGGGGAGAGATTAACCAAAGAATTTTTATGCATATATGCCTAACCTATGGACACAGACAATAGTGTGGTGAAGGCCTGGGTAGGGAGTAGGTATGGGATGGAAGGGGCCAATGGGGAAAAGGTGGGGACATCTGTAATACTTTCAACAATAAAGATAAATTTAAATAAAGAGGTTAAATTATTTGGAAATTGATCAAACAAAAACAAACATATGATGCCGTGTGGTGGATGCAAGCATCATCATGAATAGCGGTCCCAGCCCCGCTGGAAATGGCTCAAGTCATTGTCTAGGAAATCAGCGGATGCTGCTGCTCAGCTGCCCTCTGCTGTCTCCTCAGCTTCTGAATCTGGCTCGGAGCCCTCTCTCAACTAACTCACACATCTCCCCTTCATATGATAAACTGCGTATAAAAATGATTCTTATTTAAAAAAAAGTAGAGAGTAGAAGTTATCTAAATCCTAGAATGAGAGGGCCTAAAAAGAACTTAACTTTTTCTTTTGTTATTTGGATTTTTATTTTGAGAGGGAGACACATGCAAGGTATCCTAGAACAGCCATTTAAAGGAATATATCTGAGTATTCATTATTAAAATTTGTGTGCAAGATTTTAACCTGTCCTGATTGATTATTTTCAGATAGATTTTATTATTCAACATCAAAATGGAATCTTTATGGTAGATGAGCTGATTTGAAGATTTGTTTAGAAATACCAAGAAACTTGATGATGTCATAGAGAAGAAAAACAGAGATGAATTTGGAATCAGGGAAAATCAATAGTTTAAATAGTCTTTTAGATAAAGGCAATCTTAGATCTTTGTTTTACTTCTTATGATTTATTTACTTTGTTTGCTATGTAGTCTTTGTGGAACTAATAATTTATTCTTATACAAGAATTTATAGGATATATAGCATAGATATAGAAGATTATACCGGCTTAACAAAATATAGTCATGAGCATTATAAGTGATAGTATTTAAAATAAGTAACATAAAGCTATTTTGATTACTATATATTTTATAATTTTAAACTCTTATAGCTAACAAAATAGCATGATCAAAAATAGAATTTAATAAATTTTTAATCTTTAGAAATACAAAATTTGATATACAGATCTTTGTGCAACAGAGTCTGTATAATTGGGTAGTCTACTTTTTAGGAACCATTGTGAAGTAAAAATTAAGTTAATAGAATTAATTTATTTGGGAAATAATAAAATAAGGATCAAGGTTTCCACTTGGAGCAAGAAATAAGTTGGTTATTTAAAACAGTAGTTGTTGGTTTCAAAGTTGCATGTCTAAAAGTTCATATTAACTCATGCACATATCTCTACTTTTCATCTATTTAGTTAAAGATAACTCTAATAGGCTCTTTTCCTTATTGATAACATCTTTTTTGTTCCACTCATCTTTTGTTCCTTTGGAAAATAACAATTTCTAATTGTGTCATATATTCATTCACTCAGCAAATGGTGTTAGCCCAAGGATACAATAACACCTAATCCATTGTTCTTCATTTCAACAATCTCATAGTCTCGTAGGGGGTTACAGAAATGTAACACATAAGTATTGTAAATACGTATGTTTGTATATGTACATACAATATGTATTATATATATATATATACCCTTATACACATACACATATATAAAATTTTATAGTTATTAAGACAGAAATAAGAAGTCAGAATCAAAATGAAGGTATGCTTTTGTGTTCATGGTAGGTGTGGGTGCTGGGCCAGGAAAGGAATGTCTCATTCTGAAGGATTCAGGAAAGATTTTATCTAAACAGTGCTTGAATTGAATCATTCCAAAGCACATCATTGTCCAAAATTGGCCCATTAAAATAAGTAGAGTCCATGTAAAAGAAACCTAGTTATTTTATATTAGATTATCATTTTAAATAAGTTTTGAATTTTATGAGTGAATATTAAACTTGCATTAACCTATCTTATGAATTACACATAAGCCCTTAGACATACTTATATAGCTGTAATTCATTGAGCAACTTCGTATAGAGTGTGCACTTGTCCTTTCCCTAAGAATGATCCAAACCTATAATGTGTTTAGGAAGACGTATCATGGATAGAGGTCTCACATTTTATTGTGGAATTTATTTCTGTCTTTAGGAACTTAAGAAATTACTTTTGTTTTTAAAATATTTTCCATACTTATGTTCATCTCTTATTAGCAAAGTCATAAACCACTCTAATTTCTATGATTCGTGAGAGCAGTTTACCCAGATACCCTGTTTATCTCTTTCACCATCTGACTAGTGGGTGTCTAGTAAAGTGCCTAAAATATAATAGGTTTTTATTAAGTATTTTTTGAATGGACAAATTAATGATTATTTTCTTAATACGCAATAATAACTATAGATCACTATTTTGCATATGATGTATCCTCTAGAGGAATGAATATGTGAATCCCTTATCATGTGGTTTCAGTGTGAGACCGCCGCAGATCAGGTGTGTGGGTGTAAGGCACAGGCTGGGTCAGCCTGAGTCCCTTCCCATGAGGATCTGAAATTGTGACCAGGAGCATTTAGTTTCAAATGTGAGAAGACAACCACTTTTTTTCTTGTGCTTGAATGTCAGAGAGAGCTATTCAGACAGCAGAATGCAGGTAACACATGGAAACAGAGACAGAGAACATGGAAATATCATTCACCCCAAATTATTGATGAGGGAAGCATTCATTTCCAAGTTTCAGTCTGCTTACGAAGACTGGCTGCATTCTAGCCACTGAATTCAGAAGATGCTCCTGGAACTTGGTAGTAACTTTGATTTCCTCTTTTTTTCCTTAAGTGAAATAGGGTTGTTTTCTTTTACTATAACTAATATATCCCTTTTAGTACATTTTCAAAAATCTCAAAAACAGAAAAATTGGGCCTCTGAAATTGTATTGAAGATGTGCTCCCATATAATCTAA